AATAATTTTGGATATTGACTACAAATTGGAATTATTTTACAAATTATTAATAAAAAATTATTATAAATATTATTTATCAGACAAATAAATATTGACAATCTTTATAAATGAAACTTTAATTCACATATTTGAACACAATTCAAAAATTAAACACAAATTTTAAATATAAATACTGAATATTATCTTTCACTGTTTAAACTGTAATAGTTGTATTTAAATAAATGTATACTAAATATTATTTTAAAATTATTTACGTTTGGAGACCGACAGCATGTCAAATATATAATAATTTTTCAAGTTTGTATAAATTTTATAAAACTATTTTTGCAGCAGCAATTTAAAATATAATTGTTTAAGCTACATAACAATTGTACATTGTACATCACTTACAATTTTGTTTTTATTGCAATATATTCTCAATGATTATTAAATCTAAAATTAAATAATTATATTTAATCTAATTCTGGCATAAATTAAGAATGTTTCTTTCATATCCCAATGTTAGTAAAAATACATACAATATATATATTAATTAATTTTTTTAAAAATAAATTTTACAGCTTGAAATAACTTAAAATTTTCAAAAATATATTTAATATAAAAATTCCCTTTCAAGATTTTATATTTATTTTTAAACCAACACTACCCTAATTAACAGCACCTGACTTTTATTAAAACTATGTTAATTAACATTAAACTAGATACAATTGTATAATTAACATTACCATGCACACTCAATACTGTATTTCAAAATAAAATACACTAATTAACCCATGAACTGGGCTAAACTAATTAAGACCACACATACCATATTACCATATGACAACTATTAGCCCTCTATAACCTAATAAAAAATTAAATTTTTCAAAATAAAAATCAAAACTAGACAAAAATTATGTAACAAATTATAAAAACAAAACACATTGATCAATTATATTTTAAATGTATAATTAAAAAACAACAAAAATTGTCCACGATGCTGTTCGTACAGTTACTACACCTAATACTATTAGTGTTGGGCGCCAGCGGGCAAAAGTCGCTACTGGAGCGGCTCGGGTTGGGCCACAAAATCATACCCACACTCAACGGCCTGATACAGCACGACAGCCCACCCATGGTTGACAACAACAACAACAAAATCAACCCCAGCCCTAACAACACCCACACCAACACAACAGCACCGGCAGGAAATCTGGGACTCCTGGCCACCCTATTTAACACCCAGATTAACGCAACGGCACCGGCGACGGCGCCAGGAAAAGTACCGGCGGCCGCAGGTGACCCTATTATGGGACTACTGGCCACCCTATTCAACACAAACACAACGGCACCGGTGGCGGCAGGAAAAGCCCCGCCGGCGACAGGAAAAGCACCGGCGGCGACGGGAAATCTGGGACTACTGGCCAGCCTACTCAACACAAACGCAACGTCACCGGTGGCGACAGGCATGGCCCCGACGGCGACAGGAAATCTGGCACTACTGGCCACACTATTGAACCCGCACACAAACACAACGGCACCGGCGGGGGCGGCCGCGGGTAGAAATCCGGCACCAGTGGCCACTCAAGCAAACAATCAGACTCTGCCGGACCCGCCCAGCAAAACGCCACATAGCGTGCCCAACGTCATACTCAACGAACTCCTGGACAATGTCGGTGGCGCTAATGATAATCATAAAATAGTGGGCGGTTCAAAGACCGGGGTGAAATATTTTCCGTGGATGGCCGGCATAATGAGGCGCACAAAGTCTAAGCCCTTCTGCGGCGGTTCCCTGATATCCAAGGATACAATACTGACTGCCGGACACTGTGTTAAAAATGAAAGCCCCGGTGCGTTAAAAATAAGGTTAGGCACCGACACATTCTCGGGCCGTAAACGCAAGTCCAGGTCAGCTCAGGACTACGGCGTGCGGGCCGTATACGTGCACCCGGACTATAACTACCCCAATAACGATGTGGCCATTGTTAAACTCTCGGCACCCGTCAGTTACACCCGGTATATACGACCGATTAATTTACCATCGGGTGATAGCGATTATAAGGGCTCGGACGCCACGGTGGCCGGTTGGGGCACCACTAGCTATGGGGGCCGTCAGTCCAAACGGCTGCGTCAGGTGGGCCTCAAGGTGTGGGACACCGGGAGCTGTAACTCAGCGATTAAGGACTTTCCCATTTCCGGGCGTATGATATGCGCCGGCGGTTCAAACGGCGCCCGTAAGGACGCGTGTCAGGGCGACTCTGGCGGGCCCCTAATGCACCATGGTGGCGGCGGTTGGTCCGTGATTGGTATAGTTAGTTTTGGCGATGGTTGCGGTAAGCCAAATGTGCCCGGTGTTTATACTAGAGTATCCAAGTATAGCGATTGGATTAAGCGCATGATGTGAATGTGGTTTTGTTGTGGATATTGTGGCAAGCTGGTTTTATTTATTTTTTGTAATAGGTGAGATTGCTGTTTTTGAATGTTTGTAATATATTAGGTTTTTATTTATGTTTGTTTAAATAAAATGTATAATTATTATTTTTATTGCTGTTATAATTATTGCTTTTTTGATAGATAAAATATTATTATTTATAGGTATACGTAAAATATATTTAAAAATTTTGACCTCGATTTTTTTAAATTTTCGTTTTGCAGCAAACAATTTATTAAATATGTTAAAATAGTTGCCAGTAATTTTCAATTACTCATACATTCTAACTATTTTATAAATAAAATAAAATACAAAAATATTAATTTGCAGTTTCTATACAGTCAACAAATTAAATACAAATTAGTTATGTATTGTTATTTGTAGAAAAACATTTATCTAATACAAAACCATCGGAATTTTGAACCCAATTAAAAAATAATTTATTTTCATTTATGAAAAATATAACCATTTTCAGGTAAAATAAATACATATAAATTACATTAAGCATTTCTTTTATCGCTAGACACTGTTATATACTAAATAAATTGCATTTGATGTTTATTTTGTTGATTAAATTGCATATATTTTTTTCTCAATTTTGTTTTCTGATGAGTTTATCGACATTTCTATCATTGAAAATATAAGCTCTCTCTCTCTCTCTCTCTCTCTCTCTCTCTCTCTCTTTCTCTTTCAAAATCTATATTATTAAATATATTGAAAGGTATGCCATATCTTATAATGTATATGATGTGCACGAAAAGGTTGTTACCATCGCTCTTAATCACAAAATATACAATACTGAACAGCATATCATATATTTATGAATGTATTATCAATACATAATAATATATTATTTATTTCCATTAAATAAAAATGAAATTGTAAGAATATTTTGTTAAAGAATCTAACGTTAAGATTGATTTTTAAGAATTAAATATAAACGAAAAGTATATTTAACTATAAATTAGATTGAAAAATGATTTAATGTTTTGATAATTTCTCTTTAGTATTAAGCGAGATAAATCTGATATTACTATTTATCATCATCATTGATCGACATTGACATCTCTCTCTCTCTCTCTCTCACTCACTCACTCATACATACATACGACTGCATTTAATCAATATCCTAGTTTAAGCCATTTATATTCAGTGCTATATCTGTTATCTATTAATCTTGAAAACAATACATTAAGTCAAAGAATCTATATTTCATTTTTAACGAATTCTTATTTCTTTTGTTTGCAATACATATGAAAGAGAATTTAGTTTTTTGTCGCCAATCAATTGAATAGCCTTAAAGTCAGTCGGAATCACTCCAAATGTCTTCTCTGTATTTTATGTTTGCAACCAAATCGTTGTTTTATAGTTTGCGACACAAATTATTGTCCCTTTTATACTCTATACCAGACATTCATCTGTCAGTTGAGCACCAAATCTATGAATAATAAGCGCTTTAATGCCAGCGCTTCACTGCTCTCTCGACTGTACAGAATAGTGAGTGAATGATAGAGAAAGAAGAGAGAGAGAGAGAGAGAGAGAGAGAGAGAGAGAGGTCGATTCAAAGCAAACAATACTCTCTCAAGTATTGACCACTTTATAAATACCAGAGAAATAGCAGTTGAATACACATTTTGTGCAGTATTTTGTCATTTATGTTGAGATGAATTTGTTTTTTCTTTAATCTCAGCGAAACATTGTGTAAAAATTTTATTGTTTGATAGAATATGACTTTTTTGAGGGTAATATTTAGGGAAATATTTCATACATAATGTGTATAATAATGTAAATTGCTTTGGAGATCATTAAATGGGGTAATTATTTGTTTCATTTATGTTTATTTACTATTTGGTTAATTACACACGAATTCTTCTATATTAGTATAATTATAAAAGTATAACAAAATACCGGAATTTGTATGAAATTTGTTAATATGTTTAAAAATGAATGTAAAATAAAATGGTCCTTTTATTAAATAATATGCAAAATGCGATTAAAATTGTTTTGCCATTTGCTGTCTGACAGCAAAACGAGATTTAACCGAACCATTAGAATCCCATTATATACAGTATGTATAGTTTGTTATTACAAAATGGTAAAAAGCTTTTGTAAACAAAATCTAAATATATATAGAAAGTGAGAAAAAGTAAGAATAAGGTTTACATATTGATGCTATACGTTAACCACAATTCGTGTGATGCTTAAAGAATAGACTAGAATTATTCTCATAGACTTAGCATTGACCATAGGATAGCATTAGCCCCCTATTTAAGTATAGCCATAAACTTAAGCTGTAATTCCATGTTATTTCCCATAGGGTGGAGGAAGTAGAGGGAGAGGTAGTCGAACGATCCTATATGAACATTTTCATATATAGAAATTGTGGTTAAAAAGTGAGTGTGTGTGTGAGAGAGAGAGAGAGAGAGAGAGAGAGATGAATCAGTGAAGTCTTATTTCCATTGAAATCATTAAGGATTTAGAGTTAAATAAAGAAATAAGGTTTTGATTTTGTAAATATTTGCATTCAGTTGAGAGAGAGAGAGAGAGAGAGAGAGAGAATTGAATAAAAACAAGTCATTGACTGATTGACTCACCGAAAGTCATCAATAGATAAGACCTTATCCCTGAAGGCGCGTATGAAGTGGTCGTGTCCTCCGATATCACTCGTGACGATAGAGAATGTGTGCCACGAATATCGGCGTAAAATGCTTAGCATTGCTGACGCCTGGTGTTCAACGGACGGCGCCAACTGTAGTATCCGTGAGTCCACTCCTCTCTGCAATTATCATCACATTTAATATCAATACAACAAATTAATTATAATTTTGTTTTTTTAGCGTAAGATTATCGCATAGAGACTGAAAATATACAGTGTATATGTTTTTCAAAATGCATATGCATGTAAAATAAGAGTGGTAACAAAATATGTACAATTATATAATTAATTAATGCGTGTATATAATTAATACATTAAATATCTAATTTAAATACAAATACTGTACATTACATTAAATCTCATATCTAATTAAAATAACATTGTATGATATGATTGTGTGTTTGCATAATAACTAATAGTGAATACAGAATATGAATCTACAGAATATGAATCTACAGAATGTGATATAAGTTATGAAATAAATAAGATATTCAATTTATGCATTACTTGTTATTTGGTTTTTCTGGTGACATAATTGCATCAAATTTCAAAAACTAAATATTCAAATGTATTTCGCTTTAACGTCTTAATCCATTAAGGTTTTACTTTGAAAACATATATACATCTAATATAAATCTAAAATAAAATGCATGTCATATTATGTGGATATTTGTATTAGTGGGCAAATGTGCAAATGTGTTCATCTAATGTATATTATAATAGAAAATTCTGGCAATGATTGAAATAAATGGCACAAAAAATAAAAATCTATAACAAAAGTGTTTGCTTGATATATGATAGGCAGACTTACAGCAACGATAATTACATAATTATATTTATGCTAAATTTTAGTGTCTGGTCAGCCAATGGTCTAAAATATAAATCATAAGAAAATATAACCAAAAAAAACTACATTTATTTTCATATAATCTAAAATCTCAAATAAATATCAATATCAGTGTTTGGCAAACGACTCGCAAAAGCAACAGAATATTCTGATTCTGTTAATACGATTTGAAGGCATAAAATGTTTTTAATGCACTAAAACACTAATTTTATTTCTTGATTCCAAAATACATTTTCGTTCACTCAATATATTTTAGGAATTATATCATTAGTTTTGATTCATTGCTTCGACTTTTTTGGTCGTTATTTCATATTAAGGCTTGAAATTTCATTTACGGACACAAAATAAGTGAAAGATTCTGTAGATTTTGTTTATTGCTATTTTTCACAACTCCCTCCCTCTCTCTCTCTCTCTCATACAACTGCATTTAATCAATATCCTAGTTCCTAGTTTAAGCCATTTATATTCAGTGCTATATCTGTTATCTATTAATCTTGAAAACAATACATTAAGTCAAAGAATCTATATTTCATTTTTAACGAATTCTTGTTTCTTTTGTTTGCAATACATATGAAAGAGAATTTAGTTTTTTGTCGCCAATCAATTGAATAGCCTTAAAGTCAGTCGGAATCACTCCAAATGTCTTCTCTGTATTTTATGTTTGCAACCAAATCGTTGTTTTATAGTTTGCGACACAAATTATTGTCCCTTTTATACTCTATACCAGACATTCATCTGTCAGTTGAGCACCAAATCTATGAATAATAAGCGCTTTAATGCCAGCGCTTCACTGCTCTCTCGACTGTACA